CGGTACGCACCAACCTTCTCTATTTTCCACCTCTTCTTCCTCCTCTTCTTCTGCTGCGAGCAGCAGACCGCGCTTGGGCGTAGCTGATGGTAACCATCACACTACTCCTTCTCTATCGCCCACGTCGACGACCCGTCAGGTACATGATGGCCGCTTCGGCAGACTTCCGATTAGTGTTCTGGATTCCCGGCGAAAAGGACAAGGACTGAGCTCAAGTCGCGCTCCTCATTGCTCACCCTGCTCCCTCTTCGATGGCATCAAAACAACAAACCTTCAACATAACCTTCTTCAAGAAGAAGGTGGTTGCGAACGTGTGTGTGTGGCGTCAGTGGCAGTGTCGGCTTGCTGCCACGGTTCCACTGGAACGCGGCCGTGTGCGTAATAATTGGTCCAAATATTATTGGAATTCGAAAGCGGGGAGGAAAATTCATTTGGGGTGAAGAAGGTTCAGTTCGTTCTCGTGCGGAAGATCGATCTTGCACAAAATGAGAAGCGAAAGGACTGCCCTCACGCATCGAATCACTGACGAAGAGGAGTCGGCGATCGTTTACGACTGTACGGCGCTGCATTTACTGCCTGTTATGAATTAATTTGAGCTGATTTTCCGTTTTCCGTTCATCATTCCTCATCAACCGCCTCAGCTCTCGATAGCTGGTGGTACAAGCTCCAGCAGAAGAAGCTGTGGATCGGAATCGGCGTGGTACACCTTCATTCAATCCTCGCTTCATTATTCGTGATTTTATTTTGTTTCAGACCAAGGTCCCTCTGTTGTGGTAGGTGGTTGTGGTTGCGGTGCTGGCCGCCGTGGTGCTGATCGTTGCGTTGAGCGCCGGCCTGTCCGATGACGACGACAATGACAACAAGCACAAGGGCACCAACTACTATGAGAGCGTGACCGCAACGAACATCCAGAAGCACCTGGCCAAGCTCTTTGCTACGGTGCGTGTGCCTTACCACTCTCTTTGCTGCTACACCATGCCTCACATCTAATCTTTCATCTGTTGCTGCAGGCCAACAACCTCACGAACAACACTGTCAACTCGCGCTCAGTGCGCAACGGGTACAACGAGTCTGCGGCGTACATCATCCAACAACTGGAGCAAGTGGTCGGCAAAGACTTTTGTGAGGTGAGTCGCAACGCACGCAACACACGCAACACACACACAGGGCGCAATGGTTTGGGTACTCACGCCTTTGCAATTCAGGTGTCGACCCAGGACTTCGTGGTGCCCGTGTACCAGCAGCTGGACAGCCCCAAGCTCGTCCTCACCGCTGTCTCTGGCAACGGCTCCTTCTCGCCCTTGGCCTACCAGCTTGGTACGTGTGTGCACACACTCACACGCACACGCACACGCACACGCACACGCACACGCACACGCACGTCTTCTTCTCATCGCCATCGGTCTGTGCTTCTCAGGCGTGGACTTCATCGGCATGCGGTACGGCGGCAACGGAACGTACAACATCAGCGCCGGCATCTCGGTGGTCGCCAATGTGGGCTGCGACCCGAGCGACTATGACTCGGTCGCCCCGAACTCCATTGCCCTCATCCAGCGCGGCGGCAACTGCACCTTTTACGGCAAGGGTGCGTCCCACCCTATATGTGTCGTGCTGTGCTGTCGCGTGTGCCGTGCGTGCCGTGCGTGTCGTGTGTGTGTCGTGTGTGTGTCGTTTGTAGTCTGGTGTACGCGAGTGACTCACAGTTGAACTCGCCACGTTCAGCTCTTTTGGCCGAGGCCAAGAACGCTGCGGCGATCCTGTTCTACAACCAGGTCACCACGACCGTGATCACCGCGGCGCGCGTGTTCGATTCCACCTGGGTCCCCAGTACGCCGCTCCGCCTGTTCCCGTCTACGCGGAAGTGCTCACCACTACCCCTCGCCCTCCACCACCACCACAGCCGACCCGATCATTCAGATTCCGTCGCTCGGCATTTCCTACTCCGTGGGCAACACCCTTCGTTCTCTCAGTGGTACATCACGACACGACACACGACACACGACACACGACACACGTCGCACACGCACACGCACACGACACACGACACACGTCGCACACGCACACGCACAGGCACACCCACACTCTAACACGTACATGCACGTTCGCTTTAGAGCGCGGCCCCATCGAGGTGAACCTCGTCACTCGCTCTCAGGTTCGATCAATCCTCCCCAATCGCCTCTCTTTATATTTATTATTATGCATTAATATAGAATAAATAATAATTTTATTTATTTATTCTATATTTTTCACTATTAATTGTGTTTTTTGTCTCGCGTACATACAGGTCACCGTCGACCCCACGTTCAACGTGTTCTGCACCACCAAGAAGGGCGATCCCAAGAACATCGTCATGGCCGGCGCTCACCTCGGTACGTCGCTCAGGGCCTCCCGCCAGCGACGACCTTCCGGCTCGGCGTCGACTCACTTTTGATAAAACCAACCAATAATTGGCAGACTCGGTGCCTGAGGGTCCCGGCGTGAACGACAACGGCAGCGGTTCGTCGTCGGTGCTCGAGCTGGCCGTCCAGATGGCGCGCCAGGGCATCACGCCCCACAACAAGGTCACGTTCGCCTGGTGGGGCGCCGAGGAGCTGGGACTGATCGGCTCGCGGGCCTACGTGCGCAGCATCGTCAACACCACGGTACTCACTATTTCTTATTTTATATAAAACAATATAAAATAAACAGTCATTTAATTATTAATTATTACATATATGCTCGGTGGCTGACGTCGGTGCGTTTTGATCGAGTACAGCAAGAGAAGGACATCGTGGCCTATTTGAACTTTGACATGCTGGGCTCGCCCAACTATGTACCGGGGATCCACAACGGCACTGACACTCCCGCCAACGTACGTTAGACGACACGCACACGACACGACACGACCAACGACACGACACGACACACTGCTGACTTGGTTCGTGTGGGTGGAATGCAGGTGCGCAATGGTAGCGTGGTCATCCAGGGCCTGTTCGAGGAGTTCTTCAACAAGGTCCTCAAGAAGCCCTACGAGCTCACGGGCATGAGCGGCGGTTCGGATTACTACCCGTTCGTCATCTACACCAACATCGCTGCCGGTGGTCTGGCGACCGGCGCGTCCGCGCTGAAGACCATGGACCAGCGCGCCATCTTTGGCGGTTTCGCTGACACTCAGGTACCACACTTCGTTGACGTCTCTGAAATACGACAGCCACTCACCGCACACGCACCACACGCACCACACGCACAGTTGGATACCTGCTACCACATGCCGTGCGACACGCTGGACAACATCGATGCGGTCTGCCTGCAGGACATGGCCCGGGCTGCGGCCTACGTGCTGCAGCGCCTGGCCCTAGAAAAGGACGTGCGGAAGTTCGTCTACGGCGCCTAGGCGCCAACCGATCGCCACCGCTCCTTTCTCTTTCTCGGGAAGACTTGCTCACCGACTACCCCTTCTGCAAGTGTCATTGGTCGCGCCTCCTCCTGGTCTGTCGCTGTTGAGCCCACACAGGGATCCCACCTACAACGCTACATGTATTCTAATTCAAGTATATGTTGGCTCAAAACAAAACACGGGCTGGCGGCCAGCAGCCACACACTACGCTCTCCTCCCTCTTCTCCTTCTCCTCCTTTCTTCTTCAAAATTGTGCTGCGGAAGGGCGTCAGCGATGACCCTCCTGCGGCGCGTCGTCCGCCGTCGGACTCTCCTTCGTCGCTCGATCTCCCGGACATGGCCGTCTTTTTCAAGCCCGGTCGGAGCTGTTGGCGGGGAGGGCGAGGCTGAGCGGACGCACCAGGGAGTGCT